TGATGAGTTGTGACGAGGGGATCATCCCATCTTCGGGCTTCAAGGCGATTGGATTCTCTGGAGAAGAAAACGCATCGGAGAGCGGGGTCCATAATGCAGGGTCGGAGACGTTCCGGTTTCGTCCATCTTCCGCTTCAAGATCTGAAAAAACCAAGAAAGATATTTCATCAGATTTTGATAATTCGGGTGAATTTCAGTGGGATCTTTCTACAAGTCGGCTGATCTTAGACAATTTTAATGAGGCCTTCCCATTAATGTGCAATGATATGTGAGTTGAAATTTATGTTTTTCCTGCCATTTTTTCTTATGGAGGGAATCCCATTATGAGTGGAGTGCGGCGCAAGAGAAAGACGTAATTTAGACGTGGACCTTGTCCTTATGTCAGACCGTCCAAATGTCGGATCACGTTTTACCCCGATAGCCGTGAATGAGAATATATTTAATGGCTGGTTCGCCCGTTGATCGCGAATTAGGGAAAATTCCCCCGAAAATCAATTAAAATGCAGATTAATCTCTGCAAGTTGAACCTACCCAAGTCGATTGCCACCCTAACTAACTTTTTTCAAGTCTGAATTCCCCTGGAAACAGTGCGTTAAAAAGCTCTCTAACTCCCAAACCTCTGAGGCCTTTAGGTTACAATCAACTAATATGAAATAGAAAATATATAAAACAAATGATCTTATGCATCTTGGAAGGAATTGCAAGACCAATTGAGCAAATGAACCCCTGCATCCAAGTTCAGCGAGCTGTGAAATCATCGAGAAGCAAGTTTAGGCCCAAAATATCCCCATTTACAATTTCCTGCAAATTTATTTTTTACTTATCCTTGCAGCAAAAATTATTGTTCCCCTGACTCAAAACCTCAAAAAATCGAAACCTCTTCAAGTCTAATTTTTCCTGGTCCCTAAAAATTCGACTTTGAGAGGTTCAACTAATTTGACTCAGCATCAAATTACTGTACATTAAATGAACAGGCAGAAGAAAATCAAATAGAATCTTATCTTTTGGCATGAAAAAGGCAAAAAAAGCGCAATTCTTCCTATACTGCATGTTCAGATGGTGGAAAGAACTCTAAAAAACATAAATGTAGCCCATTCCGGATTATGCTTTCTAGTATAGATTGAAGATAACATTTATTTTGAATTTTTGTTGGTGTGAACAGCCCACTTTGTTCAAGAGATTTAAAGCACATTTCAATCAAAATTATCCAGCTTTTTAAAAGTAAAAATTTTTTATTTGTCCAGATGTTGGGTGGAATGTTTTGAGTATTTACCCATCACCAATTAGCATGAGTACGTATTCAATTGGTTCGTCTTGTTGTCAAAAATTTGGAAAAGTCCCCCAAAACATTGTGAAGCCCGTAGCCAGCTATGAATTGAAGTACATTTATAGTACAATTTATTTTTATTTTTTGTGTGAATATAAATAGCCAACTCTGTCCGAGAGGCATCAGTTGTGAAAAATATTATTGCAAATCTGGATGTATCAAGTAGCCGTATCTTATCGAGTTTTAATAACTGTCCCTAAGACAAATTATACGCTTGTGTCTGGGCGTGCGTGTCGCGGGGTTTCGTTTTTAAAGTTATGTCGCCTATTTGGAACCCTTTTCGGACCGCATCAATTCGAGCGTAATAAAATTTCAACATCCGACAGGCAATCAGCTTTCATAATGGAAAAGAAGGAGGGAAAGGCCTTGAAGGAAATACTCCCAACATCCCACTCATAAGTACATTACCACAAAGGAATAAATGATCAGATTTACCATTCTGGGAAGATATTTGGTAATGATCAGCTATGCCTGTTTCTGAGACCCGAGTTTCTTGAATTTTCGGGGATGCTAGCACTTCGACTTCGGGAGATACCATTTGCTGGTCATCCCGCGGCGAGTTTTCTGTGGTCTTCGGGGTTGATCTGGGATCAGCAGGTGGACCTGAAGGTATTTGCGGAATGTATGAAGAAATTAAGATTGGTGAAAGCAATTCCAGGCACCAATTCCAGTTGGTCCTATTATGAGCGCTATTTGTTTCAATATCAACGACCGAACCTTTTGAAATATCCGAACGAAGTATTCATTAATTTGACGAAGTTCCTAATTCATGTCTACCGTATTTTGAGAAATTGCATCTAACGCTGTAAAAATAGAAGAAAAATTGTTCTGCGTACTTATCTGATCGCCCTTCTTCCCTGCATGTGGCCGATAAATGTGGAAGTGGAAAAAAATTTCAACCTACAAGTGTGACACATTATTGAAGTATTGAGGACTCCTGAATGATTGCAGCTCGCGTAACAAAATTAATTAGATTACTGTATTACTATCAGAAGATAACTTTTTAGATAAGTTATCTGAGTCCAATAAAATTTTTTCAATTCGGCAAAAATGGGACTTAGTTTCCTTCTAAAAGAAGCGGCTATAAAAACTTCGAGGGAGCAAAGATACTAAGCCACCGGAATAGTTAATAAGTCGCAGAATTTCCGAGGAAAATCTTGAAATTTTGCCATTAAATTTTTTTTTCGATCGACCACGTGAATGCATCTTATACGAGATGTGGCGTGCGTGTGAATTGACTTTGATGGAAGAACTTTTCCACATTCTCCTGGTCCAACTTGTATTATATCTTAATGTATGATGAGCATGATAAAATATGTTTCTTTAAAAGTCAATAAAATTAATTACCTAAGACAGAGGACTTACCTCAACAAGAAAAAGCGATGTTTGTGACTGATAAATGAAATAAAGGCTCATTTAACTGCAGTGCAAAACCTGGAGTTGGAGGGAGTAAAAAAAATGGGAGCAGAACCAAAATAATTCCTTATAGATCCCTGGAACCAAGAAACAAAGGATTCAATAGGCCTGATCATGTAATAAGCCTCAAGTAAACGAATGAAGCCTGTGAATACGTATGTGAGGAATTATTCTGCTTGGACAGCTTCAATTGAAATCCGAATCTCGGTTCCAGGTCTGAATTTATTCATGAACTAATCTCTTTGAACGATGAGCGTCAGTACTTAAAATCTCTAGACACCAGTTTTATTTTTTGGTTCCAGAAGAAGTAAAACGAAGGTTGAATTGGACCTGAAATACTGTACAATAATTATTAGCTTGTAAATCTCACCTGCTTCAACCGTGTCTTCAACGATAAATACCTTGTTGGTAGCAGTGCCAGGATCAAGGATCATAGCAGGAGCTTTTTCAGCTTGAATTAATTCCAACATTTCAATGCATATAAGAAATCATACGCGTATCTTAAAATATAAAAAAAACGAACCTGCAGCGCTTATTTCGGAATTGGTATTCTTAACTTTTTCCCCTGAGGAATGGTGAGAATTCAGAGCCCTTGCGTCCGAATGTCTGTCTTCGGACATCGACATTTTGGTGTTCTCTAAGAACCGTGAATCGGAAGCGATTTTATTTTAAAATCAGAAATTCGGTTTCACGACGGAGAAACAATGATGAATTTGCACCTGCGCTTAGTTGAGCATCTATGGAGTGCAGAGTGGAGGAAGTGTCTCCAGCGTTTCCATTGTGCGAAGCTTTTGCGCCGAATGTTTTACGCGAGAAAGCTGAAAGGGGAAATACATTTTCGTGAGAAACTTTCATTTCGGCGAATTCTTGAAATCGCACGAACTTTGTTTCAAAAGTTTCCCTGAGATGACCCCCGTGCTGTGAATGAACATGGACGAAAACATTTTCTCCTTATTATCTTCTCGTTCGGGCGAAGTACCACGTATCTTGGGCGAGTGCGATTTTATCCTCACTGAAAAAATGCAGTTTAAAAAAGGCAAGAATTGGATCAGAAATTCAATTTTTCAACGAATTCGTTGCAACTGACCTGATTTTGACGTCTGTGTGGAGTCCTCGCCTTCTGCTGAAGCCTTTCTACGCTTGATTTCACCTGTCACATGATCAACTCAACTAACTTAGACCTACAAATAGCAAGATCTATGACTAGAAAAGCAGTGCTACATTTTGCGATAAATTATTGTTGATAATAACTGGTATGTAAATGTATTATTTTGTTATTTTTATTTTGGTCGCCTTCACATGGAAATCGAAATGGCCATTCACAAAAGGCTGCATTTTAAATAGCGCTTAGGACATTTTATTTCAAACAAAATCACCATTAAGTCATCTGCTGATGTTTGATACAGCTATTTCAGACTTTCCTGTCTGAACGACGTATGAGACAATAAATAAGAAATTAAAATTTGGAATATGCGGATCAGTTTAAAAGAGCGTCCTCTAATCCTGAAGGTATTAGCTTTTTTTTAAACAAAAAAATCAATTCAGAATCATATTGCCCTAGATGAGGAATAAATTCTCAAGAAATGCTTTTGTTGGGGAAGATTAATTCATGTTCCTTATTTAAAAAATTTATTTTAATAAAATCATTTCTGCAACTCTTATTATTCGAACTTTGTTCTACTTATTTCTCATATTTTTTCACAGGGCAAACTTTTAAAAACCATTGTAGAATTCAAAGCCCTCTTTAAAAATCCCTGGATCGCCTGGAACGTGATGTGGAAAAAGTGAGCCACTTTTAACATTTCTCAGCTGCTAACTTCACTTTCAGCCAAGTTTCCTTTCTATCCTCTCGTGCCTGCAGCTGGTCTGGGTAATCAATTGATGCAAAAAAGTGCTTATCTCGAGAAAACAAAAAATTGCAGTTCTCATGAAATTCGGTCTACTCATAACTGTTTAGAATTAGAAATTCATCTCTAAAAATGATTAGCTCATTTTATCTTTTTATTTGCTTATTATTTTTGAGGACTGTGGTACGAATGAGGTTGTGTGTTCAGCAATTTTCTCACCTTGTTGGGAACCAGACAAGATTTTCATATTACATCTGTTCGAATTATGAAGCCAACTCTTCCGAAGGGTTTCGCCGACAGGAGAACGTTTCGAATAGTTTTGGCTCATCGCGTGCGACGAATCCAAAGCCTGGTCATCGTCTCTCGTTGGTACATATTCATCTGATGGCGGCACAACATCGAAAAGATCTGAAAATTAAACGTGACAGCGTGAAAATAAATTTCATTGCCAAAAAACGATATCCAGCTTCGCGGAAGGGTCACAGCACGAACCTCCTTCTCGTCGTTGGATCGCAAGCGGATCTTCGTTGGATGGTCCAAATCTATCAGCGTACTTTTTTTGACTGGTGAATGATGGTGAATCCCTGACTGGAATTCAAAATGCTAGGGTCATAAAAACAGACAATTTGGTGTTGGGGAAATGGATGTTCGAACATGGTTTACATCCACTATAGTTTTTAATACATACAGCAACACCCCAAGGCAACAATGTTGAAAGCCAGCTTCGATATGCCTTTCACAGTATTGCAANGAAACAAAGGATTCAATAGGCCTGATCATGTAATAAGCCTCAAGTAAACGAATGAAGCCTGTGAATACGTATGTGAGGAATTATTCTGCTTGGACAGCTTCAATTGAAATCCGAATCTCGGTTCCAGATCTGAATTTATTCATGAACTAATCTCTTTGAACTATGAGCGTCAGTACTTAAAATCTCTAGACACCAGTTTTATTTTTTGGTTCCAGAAGAAGTAAAACGAAGGTTGAATTGGACCTGATACTGTAAATAATTATTAGCTTGAAAATCTCACCTGCTTCAACCGTGTCTTCAACGATAAATACTTTGTTGGTAGCAGTGCCAGGATCAAGGATCATAGCAGGAGCTTTTTCAGCTTGAATTAATTCCAACAGTTCAATACATATAAGAAATCATATGCGTATCTTAAAATGAAAAAAAACGAACCTGCTGCGCTTATTTCGGAATTGGTATTCTTAACTTTTTCCCCTGAGGAATGGTGAGAATTCAGAGCCCTTGCGTCTGAATGTCTGTCTTCGGACATCGACATTTTGGTGTTCTCTAAGAACCGTGAATCGGAAAAAATTTTATTTTAAAATTTGAATTTCGCTTTCACGACGGAGAAACAATGATGAATTTGCACCTGCGCTTAGTTGAGCATCTATGGAGTGCAGAGTGGAGGAAGTGTCTCCAGCGTTTCCATTGTGCAAAGCTTTTGCGCCGAATGTTTTACGCGAGAAAGCTGAAAGCGGAAATACATTTTCTTGAGAAACTTTCATTTTGGCAAATTCTTGAAATCGCACGAACTTTGTTTCAAAAGTTTCCCTGAGATGACCCCCGTGCTGTGAATGAACATGGACGAAAACATTTTCTCCTTATTATCTTCTCGTTCGGGCGAAGTACCACGTATCTTGGGCGAGTGCGATTTTATCCTCACTGAAAAAAGGCAAGAATCGGATCAGAAATTCAATTTTTCAACAAATTCGTTGCAACTGACCTGATTTCGACGTCTGTGTAGAGTCCTCGCCTTCTGCTGAAGCCTTTCTACGCTTGATTTCACCTGTTATACGATGTATTCGGACCGCGATTCACGATTTTAAAAATTTGAGAATTGCCGTGAAAGTGTTCAAACACCTGCATCAACTTAACTCAATTAGACCTACAAATAACAAGATCTATGACAAGAAAAGCAGTGCTACATTATGTGATAAATTACTGCTGATTATAACAGGAATGTGAATGTGTGATATGGGTATTTTTATTTTGGTAGCCTTTACATGGAAATCGAAATGGCCATTCACAAAAGGCTACCTTTTGAATAGGGCTTATGACATTCTAATTCACACAAAATCACCAAGTCATCTGCTGATGTTTGAGCCAGCTATTTGAGACTTTTCTGTCTGAACGACGTATGAGACAATAAATAAGAAATTATAATTTGGAATATGCGGATCAGTTTAAAAGAGCGTCCTCTAATCCTGAAGGTATATGCTTATTTTTTAAACAAAAAATTTAATCCATTCAGAATCATAATTGCTTTATATGAGAAATGAATTCTTAAGAAATGGTTTTGTAGGGGAAGATTCATTGTTGTTCCTTATTTCAAAGATTTATTTTGAAACAAAATTCATTTCTGCAACTCTTATTATTCGAACTTTGTTCTACTTATTTCTTATATTTTTTCACAGGGCAAGCTTTTAAAAACCATTGTAGAATTCAAAGCCCTCTTTAAAAATCCCTAGATCGCCTGAAACGTGATGTGGAAAAAGTGAGCCACTTTTAACATTTCTCAGCTGCTAACTTCACTTTCAGCCAAGTTTCCTTTTCCTTTCTATTCTCTCGAGCCTGCAGCTGGTCTGGGTAATCAATTGGTGCAAAGTAGTGCTTATCTCGTGAAAACAAATAATTGCAATTCTCATGAAATTCGGTCTACTCATAACTGTTTAGAATTAGAAATTCATCTCTAAAAAATATTAGCTCATTTTATTTTATTATTTACTTATTATTTTTGAGGACCGTGGTACGAATGAGGTTGTGTGTTCAGCAATTTTCTCACCTTGTTGGGAACCAGACAAGATTTTCATATTACATCTGTTCGAATTATGAAGCCAACTCTTCCGAAGGGTTTCGCCGACAGGAGAACGTTTCGAATAGTTTTGGCTCATCGCGTGCGACGAATCCAACGCCTGGTCATCGTCTCTCGTGGGTACATATTCATCTGATGGCGGCACAACGTCGAAAAGATCTGAAAATTAAACGTGACAGTGTGAAAATTAATTTCATTGCCAAAAAAACGATATCCAGCTTGGGGAAGGGTCACAGCACGAACCTCCTTCTCGTCGTTGGATCGCAAGTGGATCTTCGTTGGATGGTCCAAATCTATCAGCGTACTTTTTTTGACTGGTGAATGATGGTGAATCCCTGACTGGAATTCAAAATGCTAGGGTCATAAAAACAGACAATTTGGTGTTGGGGAAATGGATGTTCGAACATGCTTTACATCCACTATAGTTTTTAATACATACAGCAACACCCCAAGGCAACAATGTTGAAAGCCAGCTTCGATATGCCTTTCACAGTATTGCAATAAGTTCCAGGTTTAATGAAGCAAAATTGATCATGACAGAATCTACAGAAATTCTCACATGATCTGAACTAAAAATTTAACTTGAGTATAACAGCTGCATGCTTTGAAAATAGCGAAGCTTTTGATGAAGTGTTGTGCTTCTAAATGCCAGGAGATGGAGATACAATTGCTGTATGCCATTGCAGCCATTTTCTGCCACCAAAATAACCTGATACAGGATTATGCGCAGCAGCATCAGATCGATCGATTTAAAATTGCTGAGCTAGAACAACCCTGATGAGAAGACTTCTAGTCGAAGATATGCTCCATAAACCTGCGTTTTTGGCTCAAAAATTTAGTAAATTCCTTTTTGTATATCATTTTCCTATTCGAATGACTGATTCAATTTCAAGTATCAAATCAGTTCTCACCATTGGAGTATCGTGATGGAGAGTAAGACGACTCGGTCCAATTATGAGATTGGGCATCTTTTCCCCTGCTCTCTGTTTTCCCTTCAGCAGTGCCAAAAGTAAGTGACTCACTGGTGACTTCTGCAGGATAACCCCGATGGGACAACCGACCAAAAACACTAGAGTAACCCTGTTTTCCCTCTTGGCCATCTTCCCAGCTGTCATCCGGATAATGCTCAGCTTCATCCAAGTAACAATCCGTTTCCTCTCTTGGAACTTCAAATAATGAAACGAAAATGAAGGATTTTCAACATGTCAATTTATTTGCATCAGGTTCTCTGAAGTGCAGAGGACCTGTCGGAATCTCATTTTTCAAATCTAGGTTGGAATGTCAAAAAACTACGCCAATATTAGTTCGACGAAAACTCATCGAAAAGACATTTCGTAGGCTTTTAAAAATGAATTTTTGAACGCAAAACATCATCGCAAAATTTCATAGAAATCTCTAACGGAGCCCTGTTAAACCTCTCACGTGGAAAGTTGTATGCATGTACTGCTCTCAAAAAGAAGTCATACAAAAAATTGAATGCAACAATATCATACTGATGTATGTAGAATCTGAAGAATTGAAATAAAATCGTAGCTGCCAGCGACATCTACCCTTACTGAATCATCATTGGCCCTGCATGAAAATATGCACGGAATGAAAACAAGACTTCACAGCCACTATTCGGACATCAGAAATGTGCCAGACGTGTTCATGTTGTTCATTTAATTTCTGAATTTGAAAATCTGTCACTGATTCCTCATCACTTGATGATAGGTTTGAATGTTCGGTGAACAATTACTTGACTTTCTCGATTTCTTGAACTTGGCAGTTGGAAATTCCGAAGATTCTACGGTAGTTAAGTTGATGGGCGGATTGATGGGCGTTGCTGGAGACGGAAAATGCTCCGCTTGACTCGTTCCAATTTCTATTTTCAAAAATAATAAAAATTCAGCTCTTCGCTTCTGCTAATTATTCCCTCAAAAATAGGTGCCAATACCTCTGTCAAGTCTGATCGAGGGAATTTCAGAGTTTCCCGACAAAGTCGATTCGTTGCAAGCATCTCCACTTAGAAAGTTTAAGCGTCGGTTATGTGACGATCGAAATAGAGCGGTAAAGAATAGTAACTAAAGGTGGCACTGGTCCTGAGACCAACAAGGTCTCAACCACGTCACTTTTAGGCGTCTCAAAAGCCAATTCCTCCCCAATTCCTTGGATCCGATTTGACACTTATTTAGCTGGTTGTCCCGGAAACAGCAGGATAAAGGATCCACTTTAAGACCCCCTATTGTCCCTGGTTGTAAAGAGACCTGATGAGATCGGCAAATGGTTTCCGAAGTGGATTCTTGCAGGGATTCGAATGTTTCTTGAGACTTATGCGGTTGAGTTTCTATAGATTCAAAACAAATTTACCTGATTAAACTGATGCGCACAAATTAAGTTTTAACGGTGTTATACCTGTAGGTTGCATTTGGGAAGAGCTAGAGCAGCTGGGTTTTGTCAATCCCGCACCTGAATGGGTTTCAAAAAAAAAAATTGTTTCATTATTCAAATGTTATGGATTTATTGCTTACATGGTTGATCAAGCGGGTGTCCTTGACTGGAATTCGAGTTATTTTCCCCATCCAAGCAATTGCTGGTGCATTGTACATTCCCCAGCTTCGATTTCACGTGGTCTGAAACGTATTTATTAATTAGCGCGCATTAAAGACTATTTTGAATTCAAATGCATCGTATTTAAATCTGCATTTATACAACGTTTCCAAATATTTGTTTCGAGTAACCTTCATAACGGTTATTGGCTTGTGCATTGTCTTCTTCGGACCCCTAAATACTGTCGTTAACTACACCAAAAAGCTTTATGTCATAAAAAAACCGTGAATGAAATCAGAATTTTCAGTGGCTCGGAAGTTGAGTGAAAATTCTCCGCGTAGAAATGTTTGTAGTTTCAATCTTGTGAATTTACTTTTAGCCTTGAGGAAAATTTTCGTGAAAATCTGCTGAATGAATTACACTACAGTATTTTATAGTTTCGTGAAATCATTTGGAAGTCCACTTTCACTCTTTTCTGAAGAAAATCATTCCTCTCACACATGAGCCCTACCAGATTCAGTTCAATACAATTCAAAAGAAATGGGTTGGATTGAACATTTTTTTTTTAAGGGCAAATTTTTCTGAGCAGCCAAGTTTCATCTGTCTTTATTCATTAATTATTGCTGTTATAGATGATTGGCGAGCCATTTGAGAAGCCATTCCCTGTCATCAGTTTATTCACCTTGATGTGGCTGCGCAGTCGTTTTAGGCGGTTCGTGTTCTTCGGAATGCAACGAACCTTAGAAGAAACCCAGCACTAAAAACGAATCAAAGGATTACTCATGGAAATAATTATCTTTACCCGAAGAATTCTGCATATCCGTGCTTCGCTGCTGTTGAATCAAATTAGCCGTAAGCAACTGCTCGGTACGTGGAGCCAGATGCTTGCCAACTACTTTCCCGGACGTTTCTGTGATCAAAATTGATTTGAATAATGTAACAATCAGTTGAATTTCTTGATGTGAAAAGTACTTCTCTTTTTGGAGTCTGGAGAGCTGCTCGTCATCATGGACGAGGATCCGGGAACAACTGAAAACCCAAGATCTTTTAATTGCAATTTTCAGAGAATGAATTTCCGGAAGATCTTACTTGAAACCTGCTCAGGGACACTTGGATTGGATTCCCCCGAAGACGCACTTTGCAAATGGAATTGCGCTAAAAATAATCGAGAATTAGTCAAGGTTAGAAGGAATATGTCGAGTATTCAGTTACTTGTTTTGGTTTTCAGAGTTGTGGGATTTTCATTGGCGCCTGAATCTGCGTTTGAATCCCCCGGAATGTTCTCTATACAATTTGATATTTTTCAAATACAAATTTGACTTCGTCGAAAAGGAAAAAAAAATATATGCCTTGTTGAGTCGAAGTCACATCATCGCAAAATTTATGAATGTCTGATGAACACGTTGCTTCTGGTTCAGAATTTGATATTTTTCAAATACAAATTTGACTTCGTCGAAAAGGAAAAAAAAATATATGCCTTGTTGAGTCGAAGTCACATCATCGCAAAATTTATGAATGTCTGATGAACACGTTGCTTCTGGTTCAGCTTCCGCTACAGCTTCCAATTTTTTGTAGTCAGGCTTTTGTTTTACCAGTGGTTGACATAGGGCGCCAGGTTTAACGATACATGAATTATCTATTGAAAGAAACATCTAGCTGTTATGTAAATAAAATGTGGGTTCCCTGCTTAGCATACCCTTATTTTGGCCGGAAATTGATCTTGAAGCAGTTTGCAAGAGAGAATCCTCTCCAGTTTTTGTTTGGGCGGACTTGCTACTGCCGCTTGCCTTGACCTGAAATCAAGTGCGATATACCGTATTCAATATCAATTATTGCACTGTACAGTACGTTACTTCAAGATTAGAATTAGCTAAGCATTGTCACATACCTGTTTCACGACTTTGACAATTTTCTTGAATTTCCTGGATTTTGGCGAGGCAGGAGGAGTGGCGGGAATTTCGTCAGTTGGCTTACGGGTCGCCTCAGCATTATTGCCTTCTGGTTTGCTTTTGACGGGTTTCACGATCTGAAGTATATTGTTGAATTTATCGCTTGAGAATGGTTGTGTACGAATTTCTTCTATCGGAATACTGAACGTACTTTCTTCACAATCTTGACTTTTCTAGCAGGTTTTTGATTTCCAACCGATGGCGTTATTGATGTTTCGATGGTTGTCAGACTCCCGGTAGGTGTCACTTCTCCAGGCAAGGGTAAGAATTGCTGGAAACTTGATCTAGGCTCTTCTTTCTTTTCCAAGTTCTCTGAAGAAACGATCTTGGATTATTCTTGAAAGTAGTGGCTCGAAAGAAATCACAACATACCGTCTTTGCCCTGGGATTTATCTTGCTGTGGTTCGCAACTTCTGGTTTCTTCAAATTTCTTAAAATCTATGGAAGCAGAAGCAAAAAAAAAAGAAAAAGGAATCACGATTGTTACATCGGGCCAAGTCATGTAGGATTCTAGGGGAGTGAGTCATGATAAAATGCGATCCCGTTTTTCTCGGAAGTTCAGTATAATCTAGAGTTGACCCGTTTTTCAATGGAATTTTTGGGAATGAAGCTCAACGAACAATGAAGTAATCAGTTGCCCAGGACTTGTGGAAGCATACAAAATATTCTTCTATTTTATTTTCTTCTAATAAAAATATGGTAGAAATATATAAAAAAGTTTCATAAGACTGCGACGTAATAAGAAAGATATCACAGGCATAAACCAGGCCTTGGATGATGCTTTTTAAGAGGAAATAAAAAGTTGAAGTGAACCCTGGCTCTTGAAAAAATGTGCGAAGTGCACTTAGGTTTTTATTGATTGCAAACAAAATACAGTAATCGTCGGAAAAATTTGAAAATCAAGCAAGATGTCGGAAACATTTACTAAAAACAGCATAACATTTTATAATTTTTCTGACCCGAAAAGTTTCAACAGCGTTTGACATGGGCGGAGAACTCTGACCTTAACTAGAAAGTTTTCACTTATCTTGATGCTGTAAAAGTAAATCTACCATTTTTTATCTGAGAAAGAGCCAGAACCTTACAGCACCCCTCGTACAACCCTCGTATATGATGAGGTGATATGAAGCAATACTAATGCAGTTGACTAAAAATCTCACCTTCGGAGATATACTCTATGGAATCTCTCGGAACAATTGCCAGAATATTATTTTTTGCGGTTTCAAAGCCATCAGGCGTTGGTAAAGTGAACCGACTGGCTTCCAATTGACAATGGAAGTTATGGGCAACATCCGCCATCTTTTCCGCGCACGGAAATCCCTGCGTTTGACAAAACGGCTGCATGAAATCCCCGACGTGTCCCGTCGTCGTATTACAGCCTTGCTGCTGGCTCCCACACGGACAAGAAGCACACACCAGTTTCACCGAATGACACCCACGATCTTCTTTCTTGTGTCTTCTAGAACGCCGCAAAGCGTCACTCTTTTCGTGTTCACCGTCCTCACGATCCTCAGCAGTTGCTGGATCATGTTCGATGAGTGCTGTAGTTGCTGCGATTTGATCTTGGCCCTGATGAATCTGAGACACACAATGCTGGACTAGCAATAATGGCGACTTGTTGTTGTTGTCATTGCTGTCGTTATGGTCAAACAGGTCTTGATCCTGAAGTGACCTGACGCGCTTTTCTGTTGAGTCTGAATTTCTGAATTCTTGAAAGGCTGGAGAAAAGGCTTGAATGTCGATTCCCACTTTTGGCATCCTGACTCGCTTGTGGCAGTGATGTACAGTATGTGGAGTGCTGGAATCGACCGGCCTATTTTAAATGACGTTGACCTCGTTTAATTAATGCTGCTGGAAGATATCCGAAATCGTTCGATAAAAACCAGACATTAGAAATCTGGAAGTTTTATTTCATACAGTGGGACCCCTATATATGGACGCCCCAACGATTCGACTTTGACACTAAAAAAAATGCCCCGTCATCCGGACAGTGTCTACTGTAATTCAGAAGCATCAATTACTCAAATTCAGAACTATAAACGAGTTGATTTATGCTTATTTATTCAGAGTTTTTTCATTATCTGTGCACAGTTAAGAAAGACTTGTATTTGTTCTTTGATTCTTGGCCTCCTTTCAAGCCAAAAGATGAGACTCTGTGGTTTTCTTCTGTACGTCTATTTACTGTACAGTATCTTGAAGTTGAGAAAAATGTTTTAGAAAAATGTTTCGGACTTGATTCCTATTTTATGATGAACAGGAGAACCATTTAAATGCAGTTTGTTTCCATTGAAGTCCATGGAAAAACCTGACCTGACATGCGGACATGCCAACGTAGAAACAAGGAACAGACAAGCAGCAAATAATTACTGCCCCACTGTATTTTAATATTGTGCCACATTGGGTAAGAGAATTTGATCGCATTTGAGAAATTGAGAGATACTCACGAAATTTTCCCCTCTTCCAAAACTTCCTCGTGTTCGTCTAGCGCTTGATCTTCTGCTATCATGGATCTAAATTTATGATTGTCGCCTTCTTTTTCGAAATTATCAGTGGTCTCTTCTTCGCGCGTATTTGTAGCAGTGAATGGTTTATAGTATTGACGTAGTAGAGCACCAAGTAGGCCTTGACGTTTCATTCGTAACTGTTGCTTAAAAGTTTTTTCGTTACGTCATGATACAAGGGATTGGCAATGTAGTTAACGTCTACTTTGTAGTTTCCCATTTCCATAAATAGCTTTGGAAAATAAGCGTAGTATATAATCGTAAAATTTTGTCTATTTCTGATTCCTCACGTAAAATGTTCTCGTTAAAATGTGTTCAACTGCGTAGCAATAAATATGAAATATATATTTTATCCTGCTGGATATGTTGAAAATACATGATGCTCCTCATTCGATATTGAATGTAAATTAATATGATATTTTCTTCATGTTTTATCCTGATGGTCCTTCAGTTGGGAAAGTGAATAAATCCCAATTGCATATCCTGAACTTTAGATTTAATTAACGAATTCAAATCTAAAATGAATCATTTCTTACGAAGTTAGCATTTTAAAAATCTACTCATATAAGTTTGCCCAAATTAGAGCGAATGAAAATGATAAACTATAACTTGAACATCTGATCGAGTTACCTCAGCTAACCCCTTCCATTTTATTTTGTTTTGTCTTAGGACTCGAGGCCTCTTTTTCAGTAAATTTTTCTTAAAATAATCGTCAAGGTGCGATTACTTCATGGTCTTGGGCTTGAATATCAAGAAGTCTGTATAGAAAGGAAGATAAAACCGATCAGGGCTTACGCCGAGGACCTCTGACCCGACTTACAATGAACCAAACGAATTCCGACGAATCGAGCATAAAATACTGTACTGTATACAGTATTTTAAAATTAATCGTGACCCGTAAAAATAACGCGAGATTTCAGAAGTATTGTTCGTGGAACACGTGAGAGAGAAGAGCTAAGAATAAAAATAATATAACGCGCATTTAGAGCCAAATGTAATGGATAAAGGACAAGTTTCTTCATCAAGTGAACGATGTTTGGAAAAGTGTACTACAGTTACATACCTTTTGATTCCAGAGGCAGGATATGAGAATTCTCATACATGCAATTGCTCCTGAACACTAATCCCTCTTCTGGACACGGGTACATCAACAATGAACCAAGGGGATACGGTGCGTGTAGCCTTTCAATTATGATCGGCTTCTTTGTTGTCTTAAAAAGCTGCAAAATCGGTGCAGCTGCTTCTGCGTGCAAAAGTCCGCCTTCTGCTGAACGCCGAGTTTTAAAAAATTAAGTTAGCTTGAAATTTGAAAGTTAATTTTCATTCGTGCCCCAATTTGCATTCACCTTCCGCTTCGCTGCCAGACTGGCTTCTTCGGGAAATATCCAGGGGTTGGGTTTTGTTTCTTTCCTCTCTCGGAAATTCTTGCCCGACTGACGGGGTAGAATACTCGTCTAGAAACCATTGAAGTATCGCCGAACGAGGTTCTGAAACTGAACAATTTGTTGTTGTTCGGAAATGATCCTTTAGAAATAAATACAGTAGTGGGATCGAGACAGACGGACGCTCAAACATATACAGGTGATTCGACTTGAGGACACTTGTCTGCCTCAGCAAATGGACATCGTCTCAAAATACCGACTCTTGGCCAACATTTCTTGAAGAATGAAACAATTTTAATTTTTCAAAATTTTAATATCTCGAATGAATTAATCTATATTTACACAAAAAAATAAAAAGTGGGAAAAATTATCCCATTTCTTGGTGGACTGTTCCCTAATTCTTAATAAGCAGGAGCACCATTTAAATGTGTTCCCGTATAAGTCTATGGGAAAACGGGACCCCACATGCGGACATTCCGACATTGGGACCAAGCATCAATTGCGTCCGCATCTCGGGGCCCCACTGAATAATCACTTTGTTGTTACCATACCTGGAATGGTAATCTCCGTCTGAACAGCTTTGCTTCCGGGTGCAGCACGGGGGGTAATTGAAAGTTCTTTTTCTTCAATTCGAGGGGTAAAAGCTTTACCCTCTCGTTTCAACCTGCAAAATTTTCAATTTGTTTACAAATTTTGAGCACTCAATTTCTATCGACCAAGCATAATTTCGCGCGACACTCACGAAAACGTGTTTTCATCGTCTCTCGAATCGTCCAATTTCTTACTTGTCTTTTGCTTGTATCCCCAAGAAACCTTGGCCTGTGTACTGCAAGAGATCAGCATCAAAAATACATCATAGTAAAAAAGCAGAACAAGACGTAAAACTGATTTGTTTAAAAAAAATACTTGTCAAGTTTGATGGATGTTTCACTCATCCTCCTCGGGTGTTCGACTTTCGCCAAATCCTCAATGAAGTCTTGTACGGCGGTTTGCTCTTCGTCGAGTTTGAAAGTGACTCTAGTCACGGGAGAGTTGAAAACAACAACAAAATATTGCCGTCAAAAAGGAATCGTTCACCGTGAAAATAGTCGTGTACCTGTTCCTAGAACTGCTACCACTTTGATATGATGCACCAATAATGCTACTTCCTGAGTCAGAGCCGTGTCTAGATCTTCTGGCAATAATTCCACCGCTTTGCTCTACTGGTTCCAACTTCGTCCATGATCCAAACCTTCCTTTTTCTTCCGCCTAAAAATAGGAGCAAAAATTCGAAAACGAAAACAATTCATGGGAATATTTATGTGAAACATGAATGATATAAAAATCTCACTACTAAAATATAAGAAAAAAATGAAATTGGAATTTTGTTTGTCCAAAAATCTTCATAACTTCATGTGATGACTTTGCGAAGAAAATTTATAAAAAGAAATCAGGAGGGAATTTACGATAGATTTTTCATACTTGCAAAAGCCCGATTGACAAGTTAAAGTGATGTCGGATTCTGTTGCGTCAGCTGAGCCTAGAATGTTTTGACGTGGGTATTCTCAGATATTAAAATTACAGTGGTGCCCCGAGATTCGGACGTAATTAATTGGTGTTTGATCCATGTCTCTACGTCGGGATGTTCGAAAGTCGGGTCATGTTTTCTCAAACTTGTTTGAAATTAGTTCAATTAGTTCTACTGATCATCAAAAAATTAGGAATGAAGTCCCCCAAAATAAAAATAAAAATTCTTCCCAGGTTTAAGATACAGTAAATTACTGTGCAGAAGAAAACCCGCAGAATATGATATATTTGCTTGATAAAAAGCCCAAAAAGCAAGCAACAAATGCAAGTATTGCTGTTCTATGCTCTGATGATAGCAAAAGCTCTGAAAAATTAGCTTGTTTTGGGTAAAACTTCATAAGTAATTTTATACCGAAATGTATTTCTTCATTTTTGAAAGTAAACTGCTGAATTTGTTCAAAATACTCTGTATCTAAATGAAGAAAATCTCATTTTCCTGGAAATGTTTCAAAAGTTCGTGTATCGCGAGACATTGTCCGGAAGTTGGGGCATCTTTTTCAATTGTTTTCAAGTCAAATCGTTCGTATGTCGGAGCCCCATCACTGCACTTCATTGAAAAATTCTTTGGTTCACTAAAAATATCCCTACGTATTGGAAGTGAGAAGAATGAGCAACACTTACTTTACAAAATACAGTCTACTATACTACTATTATTCTACTATAATTATTTTATTCTTTTAAAAAAATATTCTTATAATTTTTCTTTTCACAAAAGATTGCATTGTCATCAGTTTCTAAGCTATCCTGAAAGTTTCAGCTTGCTAGCTAGTCGGGAAGTGAGCAAAATTTGAGTTGCAAAATTTTATGTGGACAAACAAACGGACAAGAAAGCAAGTTAATAAAAACGTGTTAATAAAAACAGCTGGCCTATGGTATCATAAGTTGACGTTTTCATAATTCCAGTGGCGCAGATTTGTGCGTTCACGCAGATTTTAAGCTCCCTCGTCAGTATTCTGGAACCGCCCTATTTTTACGTTTTAGTACTGTATATACCCGGTATCCACAGCTTTTGAAACTTTTCTGGAGNAGATCTTCTGGCAATAATTCCACCGCTTTGCTCTACTGGTTCCAACTTCGTCCATGATCCAAACCTTCCTTTTTCTTCCGCCTAAAAAAAAAAAAACGAAAATGAAAGCAATACACGGGAATATTCATTCGCAACATGAATGAGATAAATATGTTACTACTAAAATATTACAAAGAAATACAATTGGAATTTAGTTAGTCCAAAAGTTTTCATAACTTAGTGATGACATTGCGAAGAAAATTTATAAAAAAAATTAGGAGGGAATTTACGATAAATTTTTCATACTTGCAAAAGCCCGATTGACAAGTTGAAGTGATGTTGGATTCTGTTGCGTCAGCTGAGCGTAGACTGTTTTGACGTGGGTTCTCACATATTAAAATTACAGTGGGGCCCCGAGATGCGGACGTAATTGCTTGGTGTTTGATCCATGTCTTTACGTCGGGATGTTCGAAAGTCGGGTCATGTTTTCTCAAACTTGTTTGAAATTAGTTCAATTAGTTCTACTGATCATCAAAAAATTAGGAATGAAGTCCTCCAAAATAAAAATAAAAATTCTTCCCAGGTTCAAGATACAGTAAATTACTGTGCAAAACAAAACCCGCAGGAAATGACATATTGGCTTGATAAAAAGCCCAAAAAACAAACAAAAAATGCAAGTACAAATTGCTGTTCTATGCTCTGATGATGGCAAAAGCTCTGAAAAATTAGCTTGTTTTGGATACAAATTTATAAGTAATTTTATACCGAAATGTATTTCTTCATTTTTGAAACAGCTGAATAAACAGCTGAATTTGTTCAAAATACTCTGTATCTGAATTAAGAAAATCTCATTTTCCTGGAAATGTTTCAAAAGTGCGTGTATCGCGAGACATTGTCCGGAAGTTGGGGCATCTTTTTCAATTGTTTTCAAGTCAAATCGTTCGTATGTCGGAGCCCCATCACTGCACTTCATTGAAAAATTCTTTGGTTCACTAAAAATATCCCTACGTATTGGAAGTGAGAAGAATGAGCAACACTTACTTTAAAAAATACAGTATTTAAAAAAAAACAGCTGGCCTATCGTATCATGAGTTGACGTTTTCAAAATTCCAGTGGCGCAGATTTGTGTTACAAAAATATTAAAAAAAAACAGCTGGCCTATCGTATCATAAGTTGACGTTTTCATAATTCCAGTGGCGCAGATTTGTGCGTTCACGCAGATTTTAAGCTCCCTCGTCAGTATTCTGGAACCGCCCTATTTTTACGTTTTAGTATATACCCGGTATTCACAGCTTTTGAAATTTTTATGGAGAGGAAAAAAAATTAAATTGCCGAAACCTTTGTTCCAAGTAAAGGAACAGCAGAGAATTTGCTCCTGAGCACCGGCTTGGAAAGAAGGCGACTGATGCTTCTACTGGTGCTGCTGTCGGCCTCTGGTGGCGAACCAGCTGCTCTATCCCTCAGGGATCCAGAAGAAGTCCTGGCACCAGCAGTGGTACTCAATTTGACAGCTTCATCCACAGCCGCCACAGCGAGCATGATGGGCTCCACGTCGGAATTGTAGTAAACGTGGTCTTCACTAGCACCAGTGCCAGCAGCTTCAAAGGCATCCGTCGAGCTTTGCCTCACGTCTCCAATCGGACAGTATGGTTTATTGAGAATACAGTTCTTGCTGGCCTTTGGGCTAGTGCTGATGCTGTTGGTTGTGGTTGTGGTTGGGGTTCCTGAGCGGGGTTTGCGACTCCTGTGGGCCCTGGATGACCTGTGCTTCGGGTGCTTTTGACTTTGGCTGATGGTGTCTTGCAGGCCGCTGATGTCTGAAATGTGATGTAATACATTTGAACGACGATATAACTCGAACCTCTTCAAGTCGAATTTTTTTCAAGTCCCCATCTCAATTGCTTTGGAAAGAAATGCATTAAAAGCCTCTCGAACTTTTCCTCTCAAACCCCCATAACTCAAAAATTGTCTGAGGCCTTTTGTCCATTATAATGTCTTGACACAGATGTACAAATTTTATGAAAACCTATGAAAATATTTTATGAAAACTTTATTGAAAACCTTTTTTAAGATAGAAAAGTGGAGGAGAAAAGAAAAGTTTTTACTCAGACATGGGTGTCGTTTTTACGAAATTGAGTAAATTATAAAAGATTTACAAAAGGCTTTTTTTTCAGAGAGTTGAATAAAAACTCATCAATTGGCAGGTGTGTGACCTCCCAAAGAATAAGAGCAAACGTGTTTTTCTTGAACACGGTGTAAATACACTCAAATGGTTTTGCAAATTGACAAGAAACTTGAAAGGGGTTTCTCAAGAGCACAACTTCGTGAATAACATGGCAGTTTTTTGAACACAGTTCAACAGAAACTTATATACACAGCAAGGAATTTCACGACACAATGGCCTACAACTTTTTAGACTTTTTGTCATTTTCTTCCGCCCTGCTTTCAAAGGGGGAAATTGGCAGCACTGGCAACAATTTCCGCTGGAACTCTGGTAAATTTGGCCTGGCAATTCCAGGTCAATATGCCAGGCCTTATTTGACTTACGGGATTTTTGGAATCTCCCTTTGAAAAAGGGAGCGCCTCAAGGGAATGCAAAAAACCCATGGGACAGTATTTCTTGTCACTTGGGGGGCCAATTTCCCTCGAGGTTCCCGCGGTTGGCAGGCATATTATGTTGTAAAAGGTTGTCAAATCCCCACTTCAAGCAGGTTGCTTTTTGTTCCCCATAAATCTGGGGGTCATCTTACTGACTTTTCTAAGGAAGAGTGCTCCAATGGATTTATTGCCACCAGATGGTTTTGGCAATTTGTCTTTCAGTGCACCGAATTATATTGGTGTGCGCATTTTTGAAATATAATCCCCTGTTGAGAAGTGGTACAGTTCAAACACACAAAAAACAAAACACTAAAGTCATTGAGGATTATATTTTACTACAGGCAGAAATGGAAAAACTATAAAAAGTGACGATGTGTTTTGAAAGGGAGTGAAAGACTAATTGGGCAAATGAACCTTTGCCTCCAAGTTCAGCATCCTGTCAACTCATTCAAGAAGCAATTTGAGGACAGAAAATCATCATTTGCAATTTCCTTCAATTCTTTCATCTTTCCCACAACAAAAAATGCCTGTTTCTCTGACTTTAAACTTCCTTCATTTGACTTTGCTGGTGACTCAAGTTCAAGTTTATATAGTTAATTGTGGTGCCATGAGAAAACTACAGAACATAAAATGCTGAAGAGAAAAGTTGATTTCGGAAAAATTTTCGTGAACCAAAAATATCAATACAGTACTCCACCAATTTCAGAGCTTGGAATTGAAAAAAAAAAAAACTGAGTGAATGAATTTTGCGCAGAACGAATATTTTTTTTTTAATTTACTGTCCTTTGTTCCTTTTAGTGCGTTTTTGTCAATCAATGAAACGAAAATTCAGCCAGGTAGTCATGATATAACCATGTCATTTCTGTCATTTTTAACTTCTTAAAATCAGGTTTACCTGTGAATCTCGCTTATGGTTCTACAAGAATATTTAAAAACAAATTTATTCGTCCTTGGTTTACTTAAGCTTAGTCACTTTTAGCAGGTGGCATTGTATCCGTGTGTCTGTTTCATGAGGAAATGCACTTCATTATTGAAACATTGTCAGTTTTGAACACTCCACTTGATGTAAAAGAACTCTATTGGATATGGATGCTTTTATTTACCGTCCATGGTTCCCTGTGAAATGGAGTTCTCTTCGCTGAGCTTCTCCGCTCTGACACCTGGAAATAGAATGAAGAATTTATGCTCATAAAATATTCAGGCGTCTCTTTTTTCAAACTTGAACTCTTCGACATCACTTGAAGCGAGGGTATTCCACTTGACGCTTGAGGGAAAATTTTTCGGAAAACGAACTTCCTTATAAAAGTAATCGGGTAAATAATTATGATCGTAAGAAGCCCACCTGCCGTTTAATTTTCATTTTTGGACTCACTTCTGCAGAGATATGTAAGTGAAAAAAGCTAGGGCAGCATTTCAAAGCTAATAACCTTTAAATTCAGTAATCCCGATTATAATGAAGAAAACATTTCTTCTACAATCGAATATAGATTCAACCTCATATTGATATTCATGCGAGAAACTGGCTCAAGAAGAAAGCACTTATCTACGTTAGCAAAAGTAAAGTGTCAAATGGAAAAGCTATTTTCTGGCTGAGCGCATCATTCGAGATACTGTATATTCAAGTGATCGAATGACTGTCATTGGGTCAACAAATGCATTATTGAGGTAAGAGTTGTGAGTGACCACATGGGTAAAAAATTTTTCGTTCGATTTCTCAATCTCGACGATGAAAGGCACGACAGAGCGGCTTTTTGCGGATCAGTTTCTAAATTCAAGAAACTATAAACGTTATTATACATATAATAAAAACCTCTTCGACTTACTTGCTGTATCGAAAGTTCCATGGTCGCCTCTTCCTGTACTCGTGCAGGTTCTTGCGCTACTGGTGGTACTGTCTTGGCCTTTTGTTGGCACTGAAAACTCTAAAATAAATGTTCAGAAGATTTTTTGAAATATACGTGATCTACAAAAACATGTCGATTAGAAATGGTACTTGTTAGCTTACGAGTCGTTTGCACTGTCCTCTTTTGAACTGTCTGGCAGCCTGCGCTGGTAGTCTCTGTTCGCAAACTACACGGGCTACTATAAGACTCTCTCAAAACTAAAAATTGTTCTCGTAAATAAATTTTAACATTAAACTAAAACTATTGTAGACGGAATAGAACCTGTTACGTTACAGTAACCGGAATCTTCCACTTGTGAAATGTCTGCATGGTCACCGTCATCCGAAATTTGTCCTAAAAAAAAAAAAAAAAAATCGATGAGCGAGTATTCCGACGAATATTTCAGAAATACGACATTCATAGATAGAAATTGTAAACCTACCAGCTCCATGATGCATGCAGTCATGATCACAATTTTCGTGGGACTCATGAAGACCTGCAATTTGAAACGAAGATGACGAAGCGATCATGTAATTATGAATCGTGAACGAAACTTACAGCTTGACGTTTCGCTTCCATGATGACAATCTTCGTGATCAAGAACGTCGTCTTCCTTCCTTATATTTTTACCTGTGATGTTTCGGAAATATTGTCGTCACAGTTCTCGATTATTGTGCATTTGGCTTCAATCAAATCACCTTTTCCAGGAATCTGGAAAATCGTTATCCAAATGGCGGCAAATGCCGCGAAAGCAGCGAAACAAACCGGAACGTAGATACTATCCAACAACAGCTAATCTTTACCATGAACAATCGAATGCTCAGCAAACGTGACAGGAGAAAACTTGACAGACCGTCGGACGCGACCATCAGAGACAAGCGTTTGATGTGCCCGATGATATTCTGAGAGAGTTTTGCAAAAATTGTTTTCGTAAATATATTTAAACATTAAACTAAAACTGTTGTAGACTGAATAGAACCTGTTACGTTACAGTAACCGGAATCTTCCACTTGTGAAATGTCTGCATGGTCACCGTCATCCGAAATTTGTCCTAAAAAAAAAAAAAAAAATCGATGAGCGAGTATTCCGACAAATATTTCAGAAATACGACATTCATTGATAGAAATTGTAAACCTACCAGCTCCATGATGCATGCAGTCATGATCACAATTTTCGTGGGACTCATGAAGACCTGCAAATTGAAACGAAGATGACGAAGCAATCATGTAATTATGAATCGTAAACGAAACTTACAGCTTGACGTTTCGCTGCCATGATGACAATCTTCGTGATCGAGAACGTCGTCTTCCTTCCTTATATTTTTACCTGTGATGTTTCGGAAATAGTGTCGTCACAATTCTCGATTATTGTGCATTTGGCTTCAATCAAATCACCTTTTCCAGGAATCTGGAAAATCGTTATCCAAATGGCGGCAAATGCCGCGAAAGCAGCGAAACAAACCGGAACGTAGATACTATCCAACAAGNTTCTCGATTATTGTGCATTTGGCTTCAATCAAATCACCTTTTCCAGGAATCTGGAAAATCGTTATCCAAATGGCGGCAAATGCCGCGAAAGCAGCGAAACAAACCGGAACGTAGATACTATCCAACAAGCTTTCCAACGTGGACAAATGTTCAGTAACTGTTGACATCGCGTCAATTCAAGAGGCGCAGGATCATTTATTTGTTATTTTTCTCGACGTTCCATTTTAATTGCAATAGGCAAAATATGAGGACGTATTGAAATTTTTTAAACACGTGCAAGGGCACGTTCTGTGTGCATCATCAGGCGAAGACTCGAATTTTCAACAAAGGTTAATCCGAGACTCGATGCGGAGCTCGTGAAATTTGAGTAGAATTTGCTGCTGGGCAGGCGGGAAATTACCCAGAAATCATCACAACTTTGGAAAGTTTCAAAAACCTTCAAAGAGTTTTCCTGTTGGATGTATGTAACGATGTAGAATTCTGGGAAAGTTCTTACCCGAACGAAGGCAATCGTTATTTTTCGTAACTACGATAAACTCGTGAAGATATTGGGTGAAAGTATTTTTGCTATTTTATTCATATCATCGGTTTTTCGTGCAAGAGCAACGTTGCTTTATTTAATTCTTCCGAGCACACATGCATTTCAATTCGTCATCGAAGTTATACTGTAATATCGTTTCTACTCGAATTCATGAAAAATTCAGATTTTCATCGCTCGACTTTGTTACGTTCCCAAAGCGAAAGCGGAACAAATTCAATTCGATTCAATTTAACTTTTCCCGCTAGTTGCGTAAGTGGATTATAAACCATGTAGAGCCTTCGCATGAATGAATTATGTGAACTGTTGTGTCTCATGATATGCCTGAAACTAATTTTTCCTTCACGTTCGATTTGATACGTTTTAGACGTTCGGATCTTTCCGAAAATATAAATTATTTCATCAACTGAATTTAATGCGATACCATTTAATTTTTCATCGAATGAGTCTGTACGCATTTAAGATCTATCGATTGAATTCTTGTTAATGAGTACTGTACATTGAGTTTGAAATTATTATTTAAGCAACACGAGGGAGTGGAAACGTAAGTACAGTACAGTAAAGTACGAATGATAGATTGTCTTTTCGTCAAATATTTACTTTTTATCGTACTGTTCAAGCAAATAATTCACGTACTGTATTCATGAGAGCAATTTTTGAATTACCTCAATTGTTAAAAAATCGGAAACAGAATCGGCCAGTCGGGAAATAACCTGCGTTGAAAGACTTTCTTGCATAATCACATACATACAAGTACGAACATATTACTTCGAAGTGAAGTTTAATTTGAGCATAGGTCAATTCACCTTTGAAATCTTCCCAACTCTTACCAGCTAAAGAAGTCCTACACTTGTGCATTCAAGCACTTTTCATGTTTTTTTTTTTATTCTCGACAGTAACTCGAAATGCCTGGCGTTTTCTGCTCGAGTACTTCGGCAGAATTCTGAAATTCTTGTTATATGTCGCTGACAACGTGACGTGGCTAAAATTCTCATGCATTTTTTTTCCTTGAATTTCTTGGACAGAACCGTTTATTCTCGACGGCGTGGTTGAGAAGTAAAGTTGAACTCCGCGTGTAGAAATACAAATTTGAAGGAGGAACGATTAAATCAAGTATGAAAATCATACGAAAATGCAGTGTGTTTTTGGTAAAGTGACTATACTGAGCGTGATGTTTTTTGTTGAAGTGTTTCATCGATTCACGAATGGCCACTATGAATCTTGCAGTTGACGTTACTTAGAATGTTTCGAACCGTGAATGACCGAGAACCAAGATTGATGGACTCTCTCTTTAACGAAATTTGAGGAACCAGAAAAAATCGTATTGAGAGTATTTTGAGGAACAAGAAAAAAAAAGTCAGTCTAGAGAGAATTTCGTTATAGCTAACCAATAAAACATGGTGAGAAAACCCCATTAAACCACAAACAATGTTTATATCGTAGTTGTGTAGATCAGTGTTCTCCCACCTTTTTGGGTCCGCGGATCAGCAGATGACCATAAAATTTTTCACCGACCGACAAAGTTTCATAAAAAAAATTTAGACTTGAAAACATTTCGCTTGATTGAGTTTATGGCAGATGTATACAATTTTCTGCTTTTTGCAAAAATTAAGTTAAGCACCTATAGGAAGCAGCCATACCTTAATGTCATCAAAAACTTGGAAAAGTTACTCAGAATAAGAAATTAAAATAATTTATTCTAGCTGGTGAAAAGGCGTTTGAAATGTTATTAGGAGAAAAGCAAATTTTTCATTGAATGATTTCAACTCTATGCTGGTCTTTCCAAAGTTTTAGATGATGATAACAGAGTTGATTGCTACTTTTAAGAAATGTACTATTCTGAAAATTTCCCGCGGACCAGCAAAAAACTTCTGGACCACGGGTTGGTGAACACTGGTATAGATAATCGTTGTATAGAGAGTGTCCACCTGTATAAAGTGTCTCTGATCCAGAACCGCAATTCCTAACGAAGAAGAAAAAAAAAAACTTCAAGTTCGTCTGTCGAAAAAATGTGATGCTGGAAGAAAAGTTCTCACAAAAAATATGGTACTGTACTGTATATCGAGCGTCACGGAATAAAACCGTCCCAAGATACCTCGCATAAAGGAAATACCAAAGTTGAGGAAATAAAAATCTACTCGGCTGTAAAGATACCGCAATGCGGTAAACCGGGTGCCCTATCCGCTTCCGGGTTGGCGTGCAGGAGTTGCTGCGCGGTATACCCGAGCGAGGATGCTACGCTCGGGTTGCCGCGTGAACGCGACCCCACATCGTAGTTGTGTAGATCAGTGTTCTCCCACCTTTTTGGGTCCGCGGATCAGCAGATGTCCATAAAATTTTTCGCCGACCGGCAAAGTTTCATAATTTTTTTTTAGACTTGACAACATTTTGCTTGATAGAGTTTATTGCAGATATATACAATTTTCTGCTTTTTGCAAAAATTAAGTTAAGCACCTAAGAAGCAGCTATAGCTTAATTTTATCAAAAACTGGAAAGGTTTCTCAGAATAAACAATTAAAATAATTTATTTTAACTGGTGAAAAGGCGTTTGAAATCTTATTAGGAGAAAAGCAACTTTTATTGTTCATCGAATGATTTCAACTCTATGCTGGTCTTTCCAAAGTTTTAGATGATGATAACAGAGTTGATTGCTACTTTTAAGAAATGTACTATTCTGAAAATTTCCCGCGGACCAGCAAAAACTTCTGGACCACGGGTTGGGGAACACTGGTATAGATAAACGTTGTAGAGAGTGTCCACCTGTATAAAGTGTCTCTGATCCAGAACTGCTATTCCCAACGGAGAAGAAAAAAAATAACTTCAAGTTCGTCTGTCGAAAAAATGTGATGCTGGAAGGAAAGTTCTCACAAAAAATATGGTACTGTACTGTATATCGAGCGTCACGGAATAAAACCGTCCCAAGATACCTCGCATAAAGGAAATACCAAAGTTGAGGAAATAAAAATCTACTCGGCTGTAAAGATAAAGCTTATCTGTCATAACCGCCTGCACCAGATTGTGTACCCAGGAAAATTTTGGTGCCGAATCCAGAACCGAGAGATCTCCGTGAGTTGTCTGAAATTTGTCACGATCCAAGCATTGAAACATGGAGTGAAACATTCGATATAGTGTTTCTCTATACAGTACTGAGTTGTTCGCGAATACCTCCACTCGATCGTGACAGGATAAGAAAAATCGGCTTCAAAGCTTCGTCGGAAAGTTTGATTTTATACCGAACTTTTTCAACGACAAAAAAAGGGTCATCGTATTTTTCCGTAAGTACTGTAATGCGAACTTTCAATTTGCTGCATTATTATTCTTTAATTGAAACATATTAAAAGGCTAGTGAAGTTCATTTCAGTTGTTTCACCAATATAATTGAATTGAGACAACAAAATCGAGTACTGTGCGTCTCACGTCAACTGCAGGAACTATACAGTACAGTACCGGAAATACGTCTTGCAATATGAATTAACTTTGGAAATGCTATGGAAACGCAATCATTTATGAAGTCGACGGAGTTTCGTAATATGCAGAAAATTTGTTTGTCATAAAAGATGCACAAACCAGAGAGACACAAACTTCATGAAAATTAATACGCTCGGCCCACGGTGGGAAACACAAGCAAATATTCTCGAAGTTTTTAAAATTTCATGCGTTTCCCTGTAATCAATATGCAGATGAGTTGTTTCATATATAAGACACGCAGAACTGGGACAGGATACTTTATTCTGCCTCCGCAACAAAGTTTTGTCTGTCGTTCCAGTAAACAAGCGGGGCAAAATTTCGAGAAACGCTCGAATAAACTTCAAATGACATGAAATGGACAGAAACAACTTTTCTGATTCCGTCAGCTTCATTAAAAAAAAAAAAAGCGGAATCACCTTTAGTATGATTGTTTTTCTGAAATGGTACCCTAAACCATGGAAGATACATATCTATTGATTTTAATGGTCAAGTTATTTCTGATTCTCCCTGCAAAATGTGTTAAATCATTCTAAATTTCATATTGAACCGAATCACGGGATTGAGATCATCGTTCACAGCATTAATTGAAATTGAATTCCAAAATCATGTTTCTCATTAGTCGATGATTCGAAATTCCGGGGGTTTTGTTACCATATGATAACCGGGTTCATCATCGACGGAAAATGCCCTCGAGGGGGGGGGGCTCGGCATCAGCAGTCACGTGCTCGAACATGTTTGATTCATGCCTGTGTGTCGCTGCTGGATGGTGGCATGTGCATGTATTCAGGTTTTTGAGGGGGACCAAATGATGCATTATACATAAACCGCCTGCAGGAAATTCGTTCCATCAGTATGTGGCAAGTCCGCTGTTTCGTATACTTTTAAAAAACGCAGGAATGTCCACTTTGTTTCTTTTTATGTATTCTGTTTTCAGAAAAACGCAAAAAAAAAAGAAAAACGGCATTCCTTCGCTGAGAACAGGCTGATCACTCAGATACCAGGAAACATTCACACCCGAAATTTGATAATTTTCCCCCGCAAAGTTAGCTTTTCGGCAGAAGAAGATAAGGTTGGTTAACGTTTTCATAAAAAATAACGGGAAACTTTGACGAAAGTTTTAAACCGCTCCATAAAATGTTTAAAAATGGACCTATGGACTATGGACCTTCAGATTTCACTAAACGGTCGTGCTATATTGAAGCTATGCAAATTTGAATAAACTCCTCAAATCGCAGGTTTACCAGTGGAACACCTTCATCAATTGTGCGATGAATTCCCGTGACTTGACGTGACTGACCTGATATTTAATTGCATGTCGCTGTTCATTCGAAACGCATGATCGTTCACTGATGGTTCCATACCCGAAAAGCGACAGAAATGAACTGCGTGTATATGGGAAATAAGCCGATCAAAATAAAATCATAAAAAGTTAAATGCACGTGGACTCTCTCCAGAATGATCTTTTCTACGACGGTTTTCTCTGTAGCACGAATTTTATTTTGGTCCCTTAGGTATCTCGTTATATAGGGGTTCTCCAAAACGCAATTTTCCGTAGAACAATTTTTTACTTGTTCCTTGAATTTCAGTTTAGAGGATGTTCACTTGCAATGTATAGTATTTGCATCACATTAGAGGGTAAAAAATTCGTGAGTAAATTTTCTTTGTCGCCCTATTTTTTCACAGTTCTCAGCTCCTAGAAAGCGTTCTTCACTCCTAATTTGACACTCTTGATACAGTTATATACGCATTGTGAATGTTTGTAAATCGAATTTTAGCATTTTCTGAAGTTTTAGATTGCCAAGAGAAGCTTGAGTTCAACTCATTTCAAGTGAAATCATCTTAGCTTCGAAAAAAATATAGTTGAGAAAATATGTAATTTGAAGGATTGATTCTATATATGATGTGTTGATTCCCACATTCTTGCGAAAGCTTTCACAAAACGTTGTTTCACTTCGAACGCTATCCGAAGAAAATAAAAGAAATTATTCGGATGAATTACCTTGACAGAAGCAATGTTCGGGTTTTGTATAATATAAGTTAATAACGTCATTGTAATTTTTCAAATTTTGTATACTCTTACGACGTCATTGATGTTGAACACACGTGTTCCTATGTTCAGCTATATGGGAAGAGTAGAAGTAGGTTAGATTTAACTTTCATAGATACATGCTGACGTACCACAACCCGAATAAAATAAAAAGTCTGTAAAACAAATCAATAACAAGTATTGAACGTAGCACGGTGTTTCAAAAACCAAACAAAACCTAGCCTCACTTCCACTTTTTTGCTGACTGTTACGTGATACTCGCTTTCACGTACATTTTCTTGAATGACGCTCGGCCTTTTTTTAAAATGCTTTTTGGTTGCCTGAAATCTCCGGGCAGCCAAAGTGGAGCACGTCATTCGACCGACACCCTCTTTCCCCACACTCTGACCTGTTGCCAATAAAACTCGCTGGCCATTCATACCCGCGCAAAATTTCCACCATAGCAACCACGATGCGGGGTTTAGGATAATCCTCTGAAGTTCGTGGCTTTTCCTGAAAATGCATGTGCTGGTGGAAAAAAAAGACCTGAAAAACCCGTTACGAAAATTCCTTGGTGCGCGCGAAAAATGTTAAAATGTTATGGCAAGAAATGTAAAAATATTGGTGCAAGAAGTGCAAAAATATTGGTGTAAGAAATTCGATAATATTTGCGCGAGAAATTTAAATAGATTGGTGCAAGGATTTCGATAATATTTGCGTATGAAATTTAAAAATATTTTAAAATAAAATCAAGAATATTGGTGCTAGAAATTTAACAATATTGATGCAAGAAAATGCAACCAAATGGGTGAACAAAAATTCAACAAGATCAGTGCAAGACAATTTTAACAAGATTGGTATGCTGAAATGTAACTTGGCTGGATGTCTTCATGTCAAGTTGAATACTGTACTTGAATTATCAGAACAAATTCTACCCGTCCGTTTGCGACCGATATTTAGCCGAGTGCTTGATGACAAGCGTTTTGCGAAAAACTCGTCAGCTTTTCGGACACGAAAAATCAACGATTTATTCTCCTGAATTGCTGATGTGATAATTTAGATGAAGTTTGAACCGCGAGATGAAATCCAAGCGCTGGATTTTTTCAGCGAATTTCCATCAGCGGATTCTTTGAATCCGTGTGTCTTGATTGCGCCGAAAAAACGCAAGAATGCGAAGGAAACATTCAGTCGTTGTAGTGAGTCGTAAAATCATTTCCATGAAAAATATAAACGTGTTCAAATGCACTTGATCTTATGTGTGTGTGGGGGCAATGAATTCGATCGTGTTAAGCACGATTTGGCGATTCTGAAGAATTTACTCTGATCCATATCACGTGCACATCCTCCTCCACTCCTTTCAAATTTACGCCTGAAATCTAACGCGTTTGACTGTGAAAAAGATCATTGACTCATCATATGTTTTTAAATTCAGAAAGAAAGGGATTTTTTTCAAGCATTTTGCACTCGTTTTTGTTTAGGTCGAGAGACAAAAAGAAAAATGTCGTTGAATGGCGAATACTTCGACACTCCTCCTTACGTTGCGTCATCGAATTTCAATCGAAAGCAGCAGATAAAATATGCTCCCTGTTCATGCAGCACCAGGTCTGGAACATTGGCGATTGGAATGACGGGCATTGTGAGTTGACAAATTGAAACCAGTTAACATTTTCTCTTTTATATAGTAATGCTTCTCATTTTTTCATTTAATGGCATTCGTTTTTTTTTTCTCTTCCGAAAGCTGTTCTTGTTCAAAACATTTTGTGCTCTGCTGCCAAACCGTGACCTAAAATCTGGATTAAAAATTTTAAAATTTCAGATCTTGCACTGTCCATGTTTTCCTCAATTTATAAAAAATACGGTACGCTTTTTGAATATTCAAGAAACGTACTTGGAGCTTCATCCAGTTGTTCACGGATTTCAGTTCTGTCTATAAGTAATTCAAAGTTAAATTTGAAATGTATAATATCTATATTCAGCTGAAATCATGCAATTCTGTATTTTCTTTATGAGATTTCAGTTCGGCAACGTATGATTCTTTTCTGCCTCTAAATAGCAGGTGAAAAAGAATTTGCCGAGAAAGTTATGATGAAATATGCATAAAATACCAAGCAGAACTTCAAGTACACTTGTGAAATACGTTTAAAACGTGCTCTTTGTAAGGTTTTATGTCAAGAATGAGTTTTATCAAGCCTTACACCTTGAAATTGTTGTTTGATTTACAGCAGAGTTTCAGGAGACAAGAATTTTGATTAGAAAAATCAAACACGGCAATTGGCCAGGCGCGAACCGACCGGGATTTCTCCCACTAGCGCTGACCTTTCTTTTCCAGTAAAAAATGGTACAAGGGGAATTATACACAAGACAAAACAGAGCAAAACATAAAAG